CTATTACGCATTGATCCATGCATAGAAAAAATCAATTGATAATTTATGTTAGGAAAAGCCATTTATTTATAAATTCTAATAATTTAAGTATATACAGGTGTTTTAAATCAAAAGTTCGTCAGTACTGAGAGGAAGACGCAATAATTAGCTTTATGACAGAAATACGCATTTAGTTTCTAATGTCATTTCGGCGCGTTTTGGCAGAGAAAGACACAGCGTTGTCTTTGCCCTTTTGAACTCGGTTCTTTAGTGGAATAATATCTTGGAAATGCCGCAGAGACAGTGCTATATTTCTAGTCTTAACTAGAGTCAAATAAACGGTGGGAATGTGGAAACTCTTGCACAAAAGATAAATTCGCCCATTCGGAAGTGAACATTGCACATACCATTCGACTTGTATGTTTGCAGATACGTGTAGTTCGTACTTTACGTATAAGTAAAGTTATATTAAGTATATATATACATACATACATGGTGTTTCACAGAAATCCATAATAATTTTGGTTTTATTGAAGGTTGTTAGTTGCTTTGGGTATTGAAACTGATTGATCTTTATAATTAAATTCATTTCAATTCCCCCGTTAGGTATATCAAAAGTAGCCACAAAACTTTATTGGAAACCGAAATGTATAAATTTTTAATTAAATTTTCAAATTCTTAATTTATTTATAAATTGTTGAAGGTTAAAACTAGCTCATCATAATTAAAAGAAATAAAAGCACTAAAAGTAACATCTTCATCTTTAACTTCATCCCATTTTATGATATTTAACATTGATTTCCAAAAAAACTGCAGTGTCGAATAAAATTCTATTCTTTTACGAATATTGGAACTATAGAGATGAAAGAGCTGAGTGAAAATTTCCTTAAAATATAGCATGGAATCTCAAAGTTTGCTAAAAATATACCTACATATTCGTTTAAAATAAGAATATGACGGGAAGTTAGACAGCCGTGAAATTATTTTAGTTACGAGTATATTCAAAAACTTTTAGAAAATCTGCTTTCCAGACTTTTGTTTAAAAGTTTCGGAGAATCGCCCTGTATAATGTATAAGTACAAGTATGCACACACATAGAAACAAGAGTATAAGTCGCGAAGGTAAGACCGACAGGAGAGACAAGTTTACTTTAGAACGAACACATGCCGTTCTATTTCTATACCTAAAGTCAGAGGGTGTTGAATTTAAGTTTAAGAAAAACAACCGATTCTGAATCACGGTGTAAATTAAACATTTCGTTGCCTGATCTCTATAACAAGAGAGGGCATAAAAAAAGAATACCCTAACAGATGTGTTTTGCTCCTTGAGGTTGTGCTAATATTATCCTTTCACACCTACACATTTTTTCTCGTTGTTCTAATCAAAACCGATTGAAGCGCTTTTAAATGTTGTATGCGCCCTGATTGCTAATTCGGAAACTGTAAACTTTAAAGTCTAAAGCTCAAGCTTTTGGAAAAAGAAATTGCCTTCAGCTATTATACTTTTTCTCTTGTTACAGGATCTGAGCTCAACGATCACAGACCAGGTCCATATCTAGAGATCCTTCTTCTAACAGAGTGGCTGGCGTGGCTTTGGTAAGTGACTTAATATCAATTTATTGTTACGAAAGTCCTTTTGATATAACACAATAGACAATAGACCGTTGATTGTAGCGATACGAGCGTCTAAACAGGTTTAAAATAAAAATAAAAGACACGTTGTGATTCATTTATTTTCATGCTTTCTGATCAAAAATTTGCAGTTGGTAATTGAATAAAGCCGGTTTAAAGCGTTAAACACCTACGCGAGTAACCGGCTAGAATCCTACCCATACACAATATCAAACCAGACTGTCTGCATCTCTGCACCATCTCAAACAAAAGCATATTATTGTATTATAAATAGAATACACAAGTTAAAAAACCGAGGATGATAAAATGACAAGCTAAAATGTGAAAAATAATTATCTTGAAAGGAAAGATACATAAATCTATCTACAACTCTAGCGCATGGTATCGTTAATATATTAAGACATTTAGGATTAACCCCGATGTGTAGTAACAAAACTAACTTAGACTCGGTAATTGTGAATAATAAAGAATGTATAAGATTAAATTGTCAGATTGTGATTACTGTTTCACGAACTTCTTCTTCATATCTTCTTTTGTTTCTTTTACAAGACAGGACAAGAAATTCTCTTCAAGACCTTTAACCATTCTTAATTCATTTTCTTGTTAAGGAATTAGCAAGTATCAAGAATTTTCGCTCAATTATAAGGAAAATTGGAAATCCGGATCAGAAGTTGCAAGCATAAGTGGTTACATGAAATATAAAACAGTGCTACAAATTCTTGCTAAAGTACATAATCACAATTTTAATTCGAAATAATTTTAGTAATCAACAAATTTAAGAATTCTAACAATAACGTACTTAGTGAACAAACAGATTTAATAAACGAACATAGGTTTCACAACCTGAGTCCATATCGTCCTAAAGGTTTTTGAGATTTCCATGGTCCAGTCAGTATAAATTGCTAACCACTAAAGAAGCAGCCGGAAAAACGCCTGGAATTAGTCTACTAGACCATGGTGAATCCTAGTAGTTTTCAGGACGAAAGTGGATTTAGGTGCGGAATCCCCATCTTTAGTACTTAAGCAAAGGTAACAGTTTTAAATTTTATGTAAATTTCTGATGAAGTTCATGCGAATCAATAGAATTTGTGAAAATCATGTATATTAAATTTGTGTTTTATGACTATTGCAATTAATTTCCACCAAGTAACATAATACTCAATTATCTAACGTAATCTTAAGTATGGCGAGAATGGTTAAAATCGAATAGAGGCCAGATTTTTGATCCTTTCAAAGAAACCACTGTGCTTTTGTAGTAGTATGACGAGTGCGGCTAGGAAAAATAAAAAAGAAAAACAGTCCGTTTATTGTTTTTAATGCCTATTGTTTTCGCAAAGTTGCAATCTGCGACTTCGACGAAACAAAACGAGTTAACTTAATCGAGTTTGTCGTCGAAAACTCCGAAAGTTCAAGCTTATTGGCCCCAGGCCCAACGACTACAGAATGCAACGCGCTATAATAACTTTCCTCACTTTTTAACATAAACGAAAACAATTTTACTTCTCCTATTTCAATTAAATTAGCCACAACTTTTTAATGAAAGCGTATAACTCATCTTAACTAAAATTCTGAACAGGCAAAACTAATTTACAACAGACTAATTTACACATAAATTAGATACAATCTATTTTGTGGTATGCTCTTGACAATGTAACGGTTCATTTGCGAGATTTTCACAAAAAAAAAGACTATTTTTGATTATAAAAGTTTTGCTTTTCGTTTGTTTNACTAAACGGCAGTTTCAGTCGGTATGAGGGTGTTCAATTTTTAAGATAAGATCGAATAAAATGTTCGTTTAAAATCCATGAGCCCGCATTCATCATATGCTGCTGTTCGCAGCGTCGGCATTTTCAAATGAAATCAACGGATTTTGCTCTTTACTGATTTGCGAGTTTACATAAAATTATTGAAAAGAGTTCGATGATGAAAGAGAGAAGATTTTCAGAGCCGTCCTTTTTTTGTCGCGTCTAGATGCAGCCGTCACCTAAGCTCTCTGAGCGAAGCTTTTCTATATGCCATCCGCGTAGGGTATTTAAAATAATCGTCAATAATTCCCTTTCAAGTGTTTATTGGTAGCGCCTCGTTACATGCGTGTTGGTAAGCAGATTTTCGCCACTGTCATCCAGCATTCCAACGGATTTTTTCCGGTAAACCGTAAAATGAACTAGAAACAAATGCTCATATCGGAATGTATAATCGTCCTTTAACAAAAAAGAAAAAAAAATGGGTACGTAGCTGTCACCTCCTCAATCGAAGTATCAACCACATTTAATCCTATTTTTCCTTAAATTAGTATAAACTGCAGCACCTATAATTAATTTAATTTAAGAGATTACACTGCGAAAACAATACTGCGATCAAACCCAATGGTTGCAAGTACAATTAGGTATTATTCAATTTACTATTAGGAATATTTTAAACAAAAAAATCCTTTATTCGAACATTTATAGAGACAGAAATGCTTGGATACTCAAGTTCAACTTTTTCTCAGTTTAAATGCTCGTACATTCTTGCAGGTAAATAATTACATTCTTGAAGATAAATAATATAATTAATTAACCTGGTGGTGCTAAAAATACAGAAAGTGGCTCCAGATAAAAACATGCATTGGTTGAAATATCAAACCAAATTCCTCGTGTACTTTAGAGAATTTCGGGCTATTTTTACATCGGACAGAGAAATATACTCTGGAGCATTCTTAATTTTTTGGGCGTTCTATTTCCACTGCAAATGTCTCGGCTAATAATGACAACATGAATTAGCATTCGTGGCGTCAACTAACAAGAAACAAAAACCAGATGTAAATGTCACAGCTAATCTAAAAAATATAGGATTTAGGCAGAATGCCGTGAGTAGTTGTAAGTAAAGAAACCAGGTATGTATTAATTGTAAAAAATAAGAGGCGGAATTGGGTTTTTTCAAAGATACACCTATTTGTTTAAATATTATCGCAAATACTACACTCATTAGTTCAATTAAGTTTTAGCAAAGTTAGATTTGTTCTATAGTAAGTATATAATTACGCTAAAAAAAATGCATTTTTATACCAGACAGAAAATCCCTGGGTCAAGACGAATTGCTTCTTTTTTTGAAGGGGTAAAACTGCTCATAAATTGTAGCAGTTTATATTTTTACAAATTAAAAAACTATAAAATGAAATATATACTTTAAATCAGTTTTTTCATGTTTCTATGTTTTTCTCAGTAAATTCAAAATGCAAGAAGTATTTACGTGATAATCCAGGTATGCAGAAAGAATTCCAACAACAATAATATTAGTAATTTATTAGATGTTAATAAACTTTTTTACGAGCTTTCGTCAGGACAACGACTGACCCCTTCAGGTAATACAAAGACACAAGTTGACCATTAACGGTAATGTTGGTTGTTTTTTCGAATGATTCGTACAACTTTGTATTACCTGAAGAGGTCAGCCGCTATGCTGACGAAAGCTCGTAAAAAAGTTTATTAACATCTAATAAATTACCAATATTACCTTTATTGGACCTTTTTCTACAAAGTTGATGCTGGAATAAAACTAATTGGCAACTTATGTATACGTATAACTTATGACGTAAATTAAAAAAGTATTCAAGCACAAAGAAAACGGACAGACAGACACACGAGTGATCCTACAAGTGCTCCGTTGTTCATTTAGACGTATGGAACCCTAAAAATAACTACATTTAAAAAAATTGTAATAGAGTAAAAGCTCTTTATTCGTTCGGGGTATACGTTCCATAAATATGCCGCGAATACAAAAACCGTGGATATGGAATGACATAATTAGTAGGGAATCATAGGGGATACGTTCTAAGGTTCCACAATAAAATCAATATGTATCAAAATAAAATCAATGTATTGATAAATTCGCAATTAAATTTAATCGTTATAATCAGCTTTAGGTAAGAGTTTAATGCTGATACGTTGAAAAATAACACCGAATCCTTGTAACGTACCAACTGTACATACTCAAAAGATGCTGATACATTAAGGGGATTCAGCAATACACGCGCCGTAGTGTAAAAACATGCTCGTCGGTTCTAGATATCATGAGTTTAATATTTGGAACAGAGGTTTGAAATTTTGTAGTAAGATAGATAAAGCTTTGTTCTAAAGCTTGTCGGATGCCATTATTTAATTTCTATTGATAATACGTGTTTTTAATGACCGTATTATTGAAAACCAAAAACGTACCGAGTTAGTGTGAACCTTTGACTGTTACCATACAAAAAGTTAAATATTTATCTCGCAGCGTTAAATCACAATGTTTAGAATAGAAACCCATGTTTTTGGAAAAATAGGCACGAGCGGCCTATTGCGGTCAATCTCCTTAATAAATGACACCGATTGCAACCAGTAATACTAACATTTTTAACTGCTAATACAGGAACTGGGTTGCAATTTTTTCACCCGCGAATAATGAAAACGCGAATAAGGAAATCGTAAAGAAGGAACTTTTACTGTAATGCCACTTTAGTTTCAAAAAGTAATTGTGTGCTTAGTTTCATGACTTAAATAGCTAAGTCTACATTTGGAACTGCTCAATTTTGATCACTAAATTGTTTCTGGATTCATTTCTGGCTATCTGACACTGATGCAGCATTGCGACATCAACAGAAGACGATATCTGTTCTGTTTCCTAACAAGAAGTAGAAGTGAAAGCATATTATCCACGTTAGTGAACAATTATCTTAATGAATTTGTTAACTTGTTACATTACGATCCCTCACCTTTACGTTTTAATATTCACGGATTAAAGCGACTTAATTTTGTTACGTGATCACGCGAACTCGAATAATCGTACGTGCAGATTGCCTTATGTACAGGCAAAATAACTACATGTGTAAGCGCTACACTTCCAACGAATGTATCAAAATCTGTCACGTATACACACATATATATAGCCACTGTATATTGGTATCAAATTTAAAGTCCGCCACCAACTGATATGCATATTGTTCGGGGAAATACTTACATAGGTACACATGCGGTTGACTAATAGTAAAATTTGAAATTACTAAACGCATTGCAAATAATTATCTATTCTCAAATAGTTTACTCTTTAAAATCAATTTCGTTGGTTTACTCTTTTCAATCAATTTCGTAATCATCGTTTCTCAACCAGGGGATTACGTTGATGAATATAGGGGGCCGAAATGTGTGCAGTAAATACCACAAACTTTTATTAAAGTATTTTTAATTTAAAACAAAAAAATTAAATATTATCGTCACATGATAAAGCCAAAGTTATTTGAAATAATAATTTAATGCAAGCTTTTCATTCAAATTATTTTCAGTTTGCTTTAGTAGATTTTAACAATAAATATAAAAAAAAGAAACTACTACCATTTGAAAAACGGGATCTACAAGAATGTCTTCCGAGTATTGTTTGTTCCTAGTAAGAACAGCAATAAAGTTAAAAACCTTACCTAACCTAACAA